TCCTCCCTCGTTCCCTGCTTCCTCCTCTCTAATCTCCTACCTTGTTCTCCCTTCCTCCCTCATTCCCTCCCCCCTCTCGCCTGCCTTCCCCTCTGCTTCTCCCCGCTCCCTTCCTCCCTCCTTCCATCTTCCTCCACTCACATAATACCGTAACACACAAGCCCCGAGTTTGTGTATGAAATCGAGCTACAGTTATTCTTGACAAATTATGACCCCGACGCAGGTGTTCGTTGCCGACGGGACTTGCGGCAAGCGAGGATTGGGGGGGGGGGGAGGAGAGGAAAGGAAAAGGGGAGGGGTGGAGGATGGAGCAGTGGGCTAGAGGAAGAGGAAGGACTGAAGGGAAGGGAAATAGGAAGCACAGAAAGAAAAGGGAAGCACAGGGGGAGGGGAGGCAGAGGAAAAGGAGGAAGAAAAACAGAGAGGTAGGAAAGGGAATGAAAGAATGTGAGAAGGGGAGAGGAGTAAAAGCAGTAAGTGGAAGGGAGAGACGAAAAAGGGATGGAAAGGAGAAAGGAGAGAGAGAGATAGGAGACAGGGAGAGCATTGGGGATATGGGAGAGGTAGGACATGAAGGCGGAGTGGGGTGGGGAGGGTGGGAGGGCGGGGGAGGACGAGGAGAGGGGTTAAGAGTCTCACCCAAGCACGATGCCGGAGATACCTCACACCCGCCGCGACGAAGCAGGAAGCAGGACAAAATAAGATAAAATTAAGAAAACGACGTGAAAGAAGAATGGAAGATAAAGAAGTGGCGATGCCGTAAAAATCACGAAGAGAAAAAAATTGCATCTTATTACACAAGATGGGAGATACCCCCTCCCCCCCACAATTCTCCAGAAATATTAAAAAAAAAAAAAAAAAAAACGGAATAAGAAAGGGTGAAATAAAAAAAATCATAAATTAACCAGAGAGAGAAGACAAGAAGCCGTGGAAAAGCGAAGTGAATGAGAACACTTGAAAAGAAGAACTCATCGAAAACGCAGCTACTCCTCAAAAATGATTAGTGAAGAAGCAAACTTTCAGGATCAGGGGGAGGAGGAGGAGGAGGGAGCGGAGGAGAAGAGGGTGGTAGGAAGGGAAGGAGGACCAGGAGAACGAGGAGGAGGAGGAGGAGCAGGAGGAAGGAGAGGGAGGGAGGAGGGGGGTGTAGGATGACGGAGAACAATGGCAAGATGTAAACATGTTTGCTAAAGCAAGACTTTCTTACATCAGACAAATGCAGATGATACGCAAGAACAATTTCTTTCTTAAGCATTACGATGCACTTTCTCTTTTGTTTGTTTAACAAAGACGAAACAAACACATGGAGACGACAAAATAGCCAGCAACAAATTGAATTACTTACGTATATTAACAGAAAAAATGAATTTTCAAAAACAAACACACAAGAACGAACACGAGCACACACATACATATACACACATACACACACATTAATCTCCTTTCATAATGAGTTTTTTAATTACAATACGGATCATGATAAATGACTGTGAAACGCCCCCCCCCCCCCCCCCGTGTACACACTGCTTAAGCTGGTCCCCAACGAGAAATAATAAAAAAATAAAAAGATAAATCCTCTCCCCTCCGTTTACTCAGTTTGATGTTCGTAAGGTTAATACAAGTGCAAATTTCGACTGCAGGAATTTAGAGACGCTGAATAAATGATTCCAACCCGGCACACACTCCGGAGGGCGTTCTGGCTCTTACTTGGGCCGGGTAAGTCAACACAATCAGGCCCCACAATCGCCTAGCGCCACGTCTGCACGAGCACGGGGTGGCTCTGCGGCTCTGCGGGGTATCCAGTGTTATGTATGCCCCGCGTAATGATCCGTGAGGCTGCAGGACTCTACGGTGCGACGCTGCCCGCTTTCACTTTAGTTGCTGCTTGGTTCCGTTGACAACACAATTAATTTGAAAGATGCGAAGTGATTCAGGTTCGGAAACTTCCAATTTAGTGTTCATAAGAGCAACACTTTGCTCAATAACACAATTACCTGCCCCCAGACGGTCGCAGTGTGCTTGGTATTTGGCAATTTCTTAAGGGCAGTTATTTGATAGAATTTTTTTAAATGATAGAAGGTTTTACTATGCATTCTGCATGCCTGGTAAATGGAAAGGGTCCCTGTAACAAGAGAACATTTCCCATTTATACTTTGTCCGGAAAAGGTACTCCCCAATATGTAATGGATGGAGTCCGTTGCACAAAGTGCACCCCATTGAATTATAAAACTGTTATACATAGGCGTACCTCTTTTTATTTCAATTTATTTCTATTTATCTTTTTTCTGGGAGAAATTTACACATATGGTGTCAAAGTGTATTAAGACTTTTGCCAGGATGCACTTCCTCATATCCCGCCTTTGTACCCAATTCTACTGACAACCAAAAGCTATCTAGCAGCCCCTTCTCTTTGAACATTAAAACTCATATACCCAGGGAGAGAAAATAAAAGAGAAATCCCCCACCTACCCCTTTCATCTTCTGTTTGTTAGACGTGTGTTGTGTGTAGAGTGTTGCGTGCTATTTAAGAATTAAAACTTAGCTCTAAGTGTATTTGTAAGCGCACACAAGTACACATAAACATAGACGTCTATGTGTATGTGCATGGCTGTGTAAGTGTACGTCTATATATACCTCTGTACATGTGTATATGTATATGTGTATGCGTATGCGTATGCGTATGTGTATGTGTATGTGTACCTATACTTGCATGTGCATGTGCATAAGTATATACATGTGCGAGCTGATGTACATGTTAATGTGCATTTGTATGTATACGTGTATCTGCAAGTGCATGTACATGTGTACGTATTCATATGCGTACGTGTAAGTGTGCGTGGTTTATAACTATAGCTGCAAGCCCAAACGAAATTAGAAGTGCAAGCGTAATTGCAAATGCTAGCTCAGGAATACACACGAACGCAGCCCCAAAGCCCCAAAAGGGCCCGGCCAATATCTTATACGAATTCCTAAATCTGCACAAATAAATAGGCCTCAAGCACACGCAGCGCCCGGGAATCACATCTACGGAAACGGGTTGTGTGTGCACGCGCGTAATTACATTTCCTTGCAGTCCATTAGAACGGGCGAGGCAAGGCGAAGCAAAGCGAGGCGAGAGGAAGGGAGGGGGAGAGGAAAGGGGATGTGAGGGGGAGGAGAGGAGAGGAGGAGAGAGGGAGGGGAGGGGAGGGGAGGGGGAGGGGGAAGGGGTGGAAGGGGAAGGAAGGGAGGGGAGAGGGGGAGGAGGGTCCCAGAAAAGGGGAGAAAGGAGACCAGTAACGGCGAGAGGGAAAGGAGACCTAGAGAGAAGAGTGAGGGAGAGGAAAGCAGGATTGGAGAGGGAAATGAAAGGGGAAAGAAGTAGGGGATGGGAGGAAGAGAGGAACACGAAAGAGAAAATTAAGTGTAGGCACAATGTACCCATTATCCATTCAGCCTTTTTCCTGCATATACTGGCTACGTCAAGAAAACCCTAACCAAGAGTCAAAAGAACTATAACGTACGCACAAATCACCCTAACTAAATATGAATACGACTTTTAACCAAGGAAGATAATATGCACCTCCACGCAGAAAACATAAAACGCGATAATACGTGACATAAATGCTAACAAATGTCTAAAACCATAAAAAAAACGCAAATTAGCTCCACCAAACCAAACGAGCGAATAAACGGACGAGCGAACGAGCAGATGGCCTGGTTCGCTAGGGAAGGGGGGAGGGGGAGGAGAGGAGGGGAAATGGGGGGAAGGAAGGGAAAGAGGGGAAAGAAGGAAGCAAGGGAAGGGGGGAAGAAAGGGGAAGAAGGGGGAAGGAAGGAAAGGGGGGAAGGAAGGGGAAGGGGAAAGGGGAAGGATAGTGGGGAGGAGAGACTTCGCGAGCGCCTTGAGGGAGAGGGCTGGCCCGTCGCTCGCCCGGCCCGCCCTGGCCCTACTTGGATTATCCGCCCTGGAATAACACGGGAAATTAGCTCCCTGGGATCGACATCGCCTTCCATTTACCTGTTTCATGCGCTTGTTTAGGAAGGTCTGCGTCTGATGGGTTCGACGTCCCGTGTCTGTTTCCCTGCCTGCCTGCATGAATGTCTGCCTACATATCTGTTCGCCTGTCTGTCTGTCTCTGTATATTTGTCTGCCTGCCTGTCTGTAAATTTGTCTGCCTGCCTGCCTGCCTGCCTGTCTGTAAATGTCTGCCTGCCTGCCTGTCTGTAAATTTGTCTTTCTGCTGCCTGCTGCCTGCCTGCCTGCCTGCCTGTCTTAAATTTTGTCTTTCTGCCTGCTGCCTGCCTGCCTGCCTGCTGCCTGCCTGCCTGCCTGCCTGCCTGCCCTGCCTGCCTGCCTGCCTGCCTGCCTGCCTGCCTGCCTGCCTGCCTGCCTGCCTGCCTGCCTGCCTGCCTGCCTGCCTGCCTGCCTGCCTGCCTGCCTGCCTGCCTGCCTGCCTGCTGCCTGCCTGCCTGCCTGCCTGCCTGAGCTTCCCCTTTCCACCAGCCACATTACCTGCTGAGTGCCAAGGCCTTAAGACAGCGTGTGGTCACGGCCGGCACCGACATATTGATTGGCAACTCCCCAGTGCAGGTACGTCGCTTGCTAGTTATCGAGGGAGTGCGTAGACTGTACCTCACTTTTTGTCCGCCTAGCAAGATCTCCGAAAAAAAGACAAAAAATCTTTCGCAAGCGTCTTTTTTCGAAGTTTTAGGTCTAGTTTTACATGTCGTTATACAGTACATTAGCAACTACGAAAGTTTAGGAGGAAAATACGCTTCGCTCACGACTTTTAACACGTATACCTTGACCTTATGCCGGTACAGCTGAGTACAACATTCATTTACTGCTGCTATGAATTACGAATTACGAAGTCAAACGCTGCTCTAGTACCCACAAACAATGCAACACGAAATAAACTCTCAACTGCGCCACAGCACTTTTTTCCTGTCTCGAAAACACAGCACGTGACTCGTAGCTTGTTCACAACCAGTTCGCATTGAAAACCCTGAACACATACACAGAGAATACCAATCACACCTCGCACAAGACACAAGGAACACACACTGGACAAGGCGGCAGCGCGGCGCTCGGTCGCCCTTCACGCGTTCTCGCCAGCACACCCGGGCCCGAACAGCGAGCCCAGGACTCGCCGCAGGTAACACCGGCCCCGGCAGCGTGGCACACCGGATGTGGCACTATCGCCGCCTCGCCGCGACACGTAATCCCCCACAAGGCTCCGCTCGCCCGACAGCCATGCTTCGGACAAAGAGTAAGACGTAAATAAACCGAAGGCAATTGCTCACGTGCACGAGAAACCGTACAAAACAAGTTGTATTCTTGTTCTAGGCGCTTGAACTAATAGTAAATGCACGACCTCGTCTCTGCTTGCGGGAAAAGGTGAAGGGCGATTCAACGTCAGAAAGACGCGAGCCTGCTCCTTTCTCACGAAAAAATCCTAATAAGGAAAGAGAAAATGGAAGGGAAACAGGCACCAGATACAGAAAAGGGATAAATGGAAAAAAAGACAAGACAGTAAAAATGGTAAAAGGAAAGGGGAAAAAAAGCAGCGTAAATGAAGGGAGAAGGAGAGGGCACAGCATCTCTAAAAAGCCCACACAACATTACCACGAGAACAGCTGACAGGAAGAGCGATTATCTCCCTCAACCGAGCCGTCCTCCTCGCCACGAACCCGCCCGCGACACTCGCCCCCGCCCCTTATTAATTAGGAACACCCCGTGCCATCTCCGATTCATTCCCCACCAATGCGCTTCCCACTTGCATCACACAAGCGAACTCTTCATCCTCCTCCTCCTCCTCCTCCTCCTCCTATTTACCTAACCTCGGCTCGCGGCACTTAAAATGCAGAGGGAGATTGCTCTTTCAATCCAGCATAAACCGCACACGCACAGACACATATCTCACACACAGCCGATCTTGCATATTAACTTAACATTACGGAGGCCAATCTCACAGTCCGCCCGATGGCAGCCCCGTGCAGGTATCTTCTGATTCCTGATTCTACTTTTAGCTTTCGTGCTATTTAATGAGAATCTTCGGTGTGGTCCACGCCTGTCGCGTCACATTGTTTCTCATTTTTTAACTACTTTTATTCTTTGAGTTTTTTTCTTCCTCCCTTTATTTATCTCTCTCTTCTCTTCTCTTCTCTCCCCCCCTCTTTCCCTTCCTTTATTCATTTCTCTCTTCTCTTCTCTCCTATCTCTTTCTATTTCTATTTCTATTTCTCAATCTCCTCTCCTCTTCCTTTTTTATTTCTCTCTCTCTCTCTCATTTATCTCCTCTCCTCACTTAGCCTCCCTTCCTCCCTCTCCCTCTCTCAACCCCACCACTTTACCTCCATCCCTTCTTCATCTCTCCCCCCCCCACAAATTCTCCCCCTCCCTCACTATCCCTCACATTCTTCCTCTCCCTCTCCCCACATTCTCCCCTCCCTTACCATCCTCTCCCACATTCTTCCTCTCCCATTCTCTCTCTCCCTCTCCCTCATTCTCCCCCTCCCTCATCTCCCTCTCCTCACTATCCCTCTCCCACATTCTCCCCTTTCCCCCTCTCCCACATTCTCCCTCTCCCTCATTCTCCTCCTGCCTGATCCTACCCACCCACCCCGTCGCACTTCGCCTCGGCACCTCCCATCACCCTCTGACGAATGCCATTACCCACGCTTCGCCAACACATCACGGGCAGCGAAGGGGCCATGCTGACGTTTCCGAATTTGGAAAAGTGATGGAAAGCGAAAGAAGCGGGAAATGAAGGCAGGGGAATAAAGAACAGCGCGAGGAGAGAAAAAAAAAGACGGGCGAGGGAGAGAAAGGGATAAAAGAAAGGAGGAGAAAGGGGAAAAATAAAAACGATATGGGAATGAGAGGAAGATGGGAATGGGGAATAGAGCTAGAAATAAAGAAAATGTGTAAAACGAAAAGCCAGAGAACATAGTAAATGAGAGAGAGAAATCTGTGTAAAAAAAAGGGAAAAAGAAGATAAATAGCCTTTTCCATGGCGACACGTTCTGAATGGCAGCAAAACATTAATATATATATATATATATATATATATATAATATATATATATATATATATATATATATATATACATATATATATATAACCGCAATCTCATCGTTACCTTCAACACTATCTCTAAAAATAAAATTCCACACCCATTTATACAATAACAATTTCCATCTGTCAAATCTTTCTGTATAACCTCCCATTGTCACAAATAAAAATTATGAAAAAAATACAAACGAAAAAAAATCCATAAATCACAATACAAAGCCCCCCCCCCCACGCAATCGGGGGTTAATCTTGCACCCCACCATTTCTCAATACAAATCCCCCCTCCCCAACTCAGCCCACCACCCCCCCTAATCCATTCTCCTTCCCCGCACAGTAAAACAAATCAATAAATAAACGAAGGCACATGAAAACATAAAAAAAAACATTTAACGTTATTCCGTGTTGGTTTGGCCATCATACCACCCCTCCCCCACCTAGACACACATACCTTCCTTCCCCCCACCCCCCTTTAAAAATATCTCGGCCGACAAAATATAAATCTCATCAATTTTTTCCCGACTGTCAAAGCCTCGCGTGCTGCTCTGGAAACCTTCCGCTTTTCGCCCCTCGCCCCCTCGCCCCCTCGCCCCCTCCCCCGACTGAAACCCCCCTCCCTCTTTCTCTCGCGCTTCCTTACACACGATGATTTTCCACAAAAAAAAGAAAAAAAGAAAGGTTTCCCCATATAAATTCTTCTCTATTCCTCTATATTTTTCATCTCTCCTTCCTTCTATTTCCTCCTATCCCTAATCCTCTTTCACTTACCTCAAAACTCTTCTCGTCTCCCTCATCCCTTTCCCCTCTCTCTCTCTCTCTCTCACCCCATTTCCTCTTCCTCCTCCTCTTCCTAACACAAAATAACTCCGAAAATGTTTCCCGCTTTACCTTCTATGCTATTAATGTCCATTTTTATCTTCTCCTCCTTTCCTCTTCCCATGTACCATCTTCCATACACTCCTTTGTTGTTACTTTTTTTGCTGCCCCCCCCCACCCCCGCACAGTCGCGTCACAACTTCTCCATTCCTTCACGATGATACACGCGGGCGTTTTCTTTGTGGATCGTAACTGTCTTTAACTTTCATATTCCTGTCATTTACCTTTCCTATTAATTTCATCCCTTCCTCTCCCTCGCGGGGCTTTCTTCCTTTCATCTCTTTCCTTCTTTCTCTCTTTTTTTCCGTTGTACACATATTTCTCTCTCTGTCCCTCTCTGTCCCTCTCTGTCCCTCTCTCCCTCTCCCCCTCCCTCCCTCTCCCTCTCCTCCTCCCCTCTCCCCTCCCTCCCCTCTCCCTCTCCCTCTCCCTCTCCCTCTCCCTCTCCTCTGACATACTGGAAAGGAAACTAGTTCTGGTTGGAAAAATGTGCAGCGCAAAAGCATCCACAGTGCCTGCACAGCGATCTCGTCAACTCCCCATCTGCATCGCAATTCTCTGCCTCGAGGGCTGGAAGAATCTGCTGCCGACCGACCCAGCGTCTCCCTTCCTACTTGCTCATCCCTCCCTCTCCCTCTCCCTCTCCCACTCTCTCTCTCCCTCTCCCACTCTCTTTCTCCCCCTCTCCACTCTCTCTCTCTCTCCCTCTCCACTCTCTTTTCTCTCCCTCCCTCTCCCACTCTCTTTCTCTTCCCTCTCCCATTCCCACTCTCTTTCTCTCCCTCTCCCTTCCCACTCTCTTCTCTCCCTCTCCCATTCCCACTCTCTTTCTCTCCCTCTCCCATTCGTCTCTTCTCTCCCTCTCCCATTCCCACTCTCTTTCTCTCCCTCTCCCATTCCCACTCTCTTTCTCTCCCTCTCCCATTCCCACTCTCTTTCTCTCCCTCTCCCATTCCCACTCTTCTTTCTCTCCCTCTCCCATTCCCACTCTCTTTCTCTCCCTCTCCCCCATCTTTCTCTCCCTCTCCCACTCTCTTTCTCTCCCTCTCCCATTCCCACTCTCTTTCTCTCCCTCTCCCATTCCCACTCTCTTTCTCTCCCTCTCCCATTCCCACTCTCTTTCTCTCCTCTCCCATTCTCTCTTTCTCCCATTCCCACTCTCTTTCTCTCCCTCTCCCATTCCCACTCTCTTTCTCTCCCTCTCCCATTCCCACTCTCTTTCTCTCCCTCTCCCTCCCTCTCCATTTCCCACTCTCTTTCTCTCCCTCTCCCATTCGCACTCTCTTTCTCTCCCTCTCCCATTCCCACTCTCTTTCTCTCCTCTCCCATTCCCACTCTCTTTCTCTCCCTCTCCCATTCCCATTCCACTCTCTTTCTTCTCTCCCGTCTCCATTCCCACTCTCTTTCTCTCTCTCCCATTCCCACTCTCTTTTCATTCCCACTCTTTTTCCTCTTCCCTCTCCCTTTCTCTTCTCTCCCCTCTCCCATTCCCACTTCTTTTCTCTCCCTCTCCCATTCCCACTCTCTTTCTCTTCCCTCTCCATTCCACTCTCTTTCTCTCCTCCTCCCATTCCCACTCTCTTTCTCTCCCATTCCCACTCTCTTTTCATTCCCACTCTCTTTCTCTCCCTCTCCCATTCCACTCTCTTTCTCTCCTCTCCCATTCCCACTCTCTTTCTCTCCCTCTTTCCTCTTTTTCTCTTCCCTCTCTTTCTCATCTCTTCCCACTCTCTTTCTCTCCCTCTCCCATTCCCACTCTCTTTCTCTCCTCTCCCATTCCCACTCTCTCTTCTCTCCCTCTCCCATTCCCACCTCTCTTTCTCTCCTTCCCACTCTCACCATTCCACTCTCTCTTTCTCTCCCTCTCCTCCCATTCCCACTTCTTTTCTCTCCCTCTCCTTCCCACTTCTTTCTCTCCCATTCCCACTCTCTTTCTCTCCCTCTCCCATTCCCACTCTCTTTCTCTCCCTCTCCCATTCCCACTCTCTTTTCATTTCCCATCTCTTTCTCTCCTCCTCCCATTCCCCACTCTCTTTCTCTCCTCTCCCATTCCCACTCTCTTTCTCTCCGTCCTATTCCCACTCTCTTTCTCTTCTCCCATTCCTCTCTTTCAGCAGCCATTGCCGTTAAGACGTCAAAGATGAACCTCGATCGCCGGGGCAAGGACCCGCCCACTCGCGCCGTGACCAAC